GTCGGCGTCTGCTTTTCGCTGTATTTCTTCGGTGAATAACAAATTAAAGGTCTCCAAATTCAATCATTTTTTTGTTTAACTTTCAATAACAGAATTCAAAGCTTCAAATAAACACGAATGCTCTTTACATCTGTGATTGTGTGTTTAATATCGGTTGATAACAGGATATTTTGACAGTGGTAGTAGTTTTCGTGCTCACATTTTGAGGCGAAGGAGCCATCGGGGGCCCCAAATCTCACCGAACGCGGGAAGGACACTCTACTCGCTACATCGCTGAAGACAAAACATCATGGATATAAGTAGGCAGGTAAGATGACTACTAAAACCAAATCAAGCCTGAGACCGACGAAGTTCAAAACAGTGACGAACTCGCCACGGCAGCTGCGAAAATGCCCGGAAATCGTCGAATAGAAGTCGTCGAGAGGTCAGGTCACGAGACCTTGCATCGACGGTACTCGTTGCTATCAGCAAGGCGACAGAACTGCACTGTACCGTCGTTGAACATCCGCTGCAGCCTCAAACGGACTTCAGTTTCACACTGTCGAGTACAGAAAAAAAAAAAAAAAAAAAAAACTCCCACTAGTACATTGCATCGTGCCGATAAGAACGGTCGTCTCTTCGCATCACCTGCCCCAGCCTGCCCCGATACAGCAATGAACGAATCTAACATAGTAGTCGTTACGATTTGTCGTCGCCACGAATGAAAGATATAAAGCAAAATATTCCTAAAAAATCGCGATCACCAAAAAGTTACGGAGGACACAACAAGGCGCAACTTTCAACTGAATTTTATTGAAAACGTGTTCCGGTATATAGTCTCAACCATCGTCACACTGACAACAAACGACAAAAGTAAAGGGAAAACACCATCACAGAGCACAACTCGGAAACAACAGTATCTCGTTCTCGGGAAACGAATGAAAGATATAAAGCAAAGTATATGAAAAAAATGCGATCACCGAAAAAGTTACAGTTATGGAACGATACAGTTTTCTGAAGCCAAGATTCTACTCCCGAGATAAGGAAAATTCACTGAAGATTGTCTCAAAACTCAGAAAACGAAAGAAATTGAATCTTCGCTGTTTTATTACTTAAAAGCGCCGCAATCTAATGCAAACGGCAGAGGTGTCGACAATCAGCTGATCGCCGAGATCATGTACTGCCACTATTCAACGCGCTGATCAGATTGAAGGATACGCGCTGCAAGTGTAAATAAACAAGGTGGTAAATAACAATACGTTACAGCTATGCGAAAATTAGTAAGTACATACGAATAAGCTCGTTGACAGAAGAACCAACGGGAATACAGACGTGAGCCCCACAGCTCCGTACGTTTCTCGGTTAGGGCTAACACGCCCTGAAAGTGGAGAGCCAACTTGAAAACAGGGGTCCACAAACACTTCACGCGACAATATTTTGCATCCTTGTCACAATCGAAAGTCATTTTGTCGAGACTTTCACGCTGATGTAGCCTAAAACACTTTGCACAACCAATTTCGTCCACCGCGTCGACCGAGACAAACCAGCCGCCATGTTTTTAATCCAGGATTAAGAAACAACCAGAAGCAAAGCGCCCAATGTTGGGCGCTTAAGTTAAGCGTAGTTTAGTGCTAGGTTTAGCGATAAGCGAGTTTGGTGCAACCGAACGAAACCGAAACTGAGCTTAAGTTCCCGGCTAAGCTCCGCTTTGCGTTCAGCGACGTTGGTGCAACCGGCCCTTAGGGCCGGTTGCACCAACGTCGCTTATCTTAACCCAAAGCGGCGCTTTCCTAAGCCGGCTTAGCGCCCTAAACCGAGCTTAGGTAAGCACGGGTTTAAATTCCGGTTGCACCAAGGTTAAGCCGGCTTTACAGACGCGCCCCTAGCTAAACGCTGGATTTGCGTAGGGAATCCAGGGACAAACAGAGCAAACTAGGGAACGCTCAGAGCGACGAATACGATTGGCGGAGAGGAATCACGTGATGTAAACAAAAAGAAAAACTGCCGTAGTAGTCGTCGTCGGCGTCTGCTTTTGGCTGTATTTCTTCGGTGAGTAACAAATTAAAGGTCTCCAAATTCAATCATTTTTTCGTTTAACTTTCAATAACAGAAGTCAAAGCTTCAAATAAACACGAATGCTCTTTACATCTGTGATTGTGTGTTTAATATCGGTTAATAACAGGATATTTTGACAGTGGTAGTAGTTTTCGTGCTCACATTTAGAGGCGAAGGAGCCACCGGGGGCCCCAAAACTCACCGAACGCGAGAAGGACACTCTACTCACTACATCGCTGAAGACAAAACATCATGGATATAAGTAGGCAGGTAAGATGACTACTAAAACCAAGTCAAGCCTGAGACCGATGAAGTTCAAAACAGTGACGAACTCGCGACGGCAGCTGCGAAAATGCCCGGAAATCGTCGAATAGAAGTCGTCGAGAGGTCAGGTCACGAGACCTTGCATCGACGGTACTCGTTGCTATCAGCAAGGTGACAGAACTGCACTGTACCGTCGTTGAACATCCGCTGCAGCCTCAAACGGACTTCAGTTTCACACTGTCGAGTTCAGAAAAAAAAAAAAAAAAAAACTCCCACTAGTACATCACATCGCGCCGATAAGAACGGTCGTCTCTTCGCATCACCTGCCCCAGCCTGCCCCGATACAGCAATGAACGAATCTAACATAGTAGTCGTTACGATTTGTCGTCGCCACGAATGAAAGATATAAAGCAAAATATTCCTAAAAAAAATCGCGATCACCAAAAAAGTTACGGAGGACAGAACAAGGCGCAACTTTCAACTGAATTTTATTGAAAACGTGTTCCGGTATATAGTCTCAACCATCGTCACAATGGCAACAAACGACAAAAGTAAACGGAAAACACCATCACAGAGCACAACTCGGAAACAACAGTATCTCGTTCTCGGGAAACGAATGAAAGATATAAAGCAAATTATAAAAAAAAAAAAAAAAAAAGAAAAATGCGATCACCAAAAAAGTTACAGTTATGGAACGATACAGTTTTCTGAAGCCAAGATTCTACTCGCGAGATAAGGAAAATTCACTGAATATTGTCTCAAAACTCAGAAAACGAAAGAAATTGAATTTTCGCTGTTTTATTACTTAAAAGCGCCGCAATCTAATGCAAACGGCAGAGGTGTCGAGAATCAGCTGATCGCCGAGATCATGTACTGCCACTATTCAACGCGCTGATCAGATTGAAGGATACGCGCTGCAAGTGTAAATAAACAAGGTGGTAAATAACAATACGTTACAGCTATGCGAAAATTAGTACGTACATACGAATAAGCTCGTTGACAGAAGAACCAACGGGAATACAGACGTGAGCCCCACAGCTCCGTACGTTTCTCGGTTAGGGCTAACACGCCCTGAAAGTGGAGAGCCAACTTGAAAACAGGGGTCGATCAACACTTCACGCGACAATATTTTGCATCCTTGTCACAATCGAAAGTCATTTTGTCGAAACTTTCACGCTGATGTAGCCTAAAACACTTTGCACAACCAATTTCGTCCACCGCGTCGACCGTGACAAACCAGCCGCCATGTTTTTAATCCAGGATTAAGAAACAACCAGAAGCAAAGCGCCCAATGTTGGGCGCTTAAGTTAAGCGTAGTTTAGTGCTAGGTTTAGCGATAAGCGAGTTTGGTGCAACCGAACGAAACCGAAACTAAGCATAAGTTCCCGGCTAAGCTCCGCTTTGCGCTAAGCGACGTTGGTGCAACCGGCCCTTAATCATCTTCTTAATAAAAATACTGATATATATCAAATGGGAAGGAAATCATTACTTATGCATTTCTTGTGAATTGTCCCGTGAAATGTCTTGAGCATACCCATACCTTTGAATAAATTTTGCATTTCGTACAGTGCTGTTAGAAGTTATGCGTATGTGCGCCTTGTGTTGTTTTGCGTGATTTTCTTCTATATTAGCTGTACATCTTTTCAATCTGCCACAAGTTCTGCGAACATTTTTTTTTCTTTTTGTTTAATGCTGTTAGAATTTGTATGCATGAAGTGATTACTCTGCGTATCTTTGCATGTAATATCCTTTAGCGTTCTGAATGGATGTCCTGCTGACAAATCCGAGATGGGCCCCAGACCTCGTCAAGCTGCCACTGGCAGCTTTTTGTCTAGGGTCTCCGTTGGCTTAAAGGCCACAAATAAAATGATTGAGTGATATATATATATATATATATATATATATATATATATATATATATATATATATAAATTTTCTCGAGGATCTCATTTTCGCAGATTTGCACGAATTATTACAAAACTCTTTGACCTAAACCCCAAAATATTGAGCCCGCAAAAAATAAGTCGTTTACAGAATATATATATTGAAAAGACTGAATACGGGCGTTTGAAAAACTTATCATTTCACGATAAGCGGATATAAAATATTGATCGGAGAGACCATATTCTGGTATATGTCAATTGAGCGTGAAAATGCTAAAGGAGCCGCTATGCATGCTTGCCCTTGTGCGTTTTTGTGAGCCGATTTTTGTGATATTGTCACAGATGTGCGTCTATACCAAGCGCCTCTCGCTCAGCTGTCTGTGCTATAACTCGCTTTTTCTTTCTTTTAGTTTTGTGTAATGTGCATATTGCTAAGGCCACGAGCTGCGTGTGTTTGCGGTAAAGAGAACAAACAAAATAAGCACAAAAAGAAGCCCACTCTAGCAAACTTAATTCTGCCGATGTATTTACAGGTGGTGACACATTAAATATATAACCATAATTTTACTTCAATTTCGCAAGCGACAAAAATCGAACGTATCAAGCACTGTAACCATCTGATAAAGTAATTATTATTTCCAGAACCAGGCGCTTATATTGGGAGCCTAAATAGTGCTAGTAATGTAATATTGAAGCACTCGATAAGGTCACAAGTAAAGACGGCTATTCCTGCCTTCGCCACTAGTTAGTTTTATTATACATAAGCACAGTCGCAGTGTCACAGTGCCAGTAGATGTAGACTCCACATATTAGACTCACCGGGAGCAATATTCTCACCAGTAAAAACCATGCCCCCAAAAAATTTAATTCAAAACAGAACGTGATTAAGTCTGGCAAATTAAAGCAAAATATTAATATTTATTCTTGGTTTATTGTTACCCATTTTATGTGGTTATAAAACAAATAAAATAAGCATAGACAATATAATTTTAAATACATATGTGGCATTAAGACAATCAAATGTGCTAAGAGGCTTTACTTGAGTTTTATTTTCATCTGTAATGTTTTTATGGGTACCTCTAACAAAATAAAACCAGATATATTGTTGTAACACTAATAAAACGACAAGACCAGTTAGCAGACTGTGAGATAATTTACTAATAAAATGCCACTGATATTTAAAATTCGCGGAATACAAATGTCTTACTTATAGACTGAATATTCTTTGTATTTTTTATGTTACAATGGCCTGACAGAGACGTATTGGGTGGAATTGACTGGTTGCCTTGATATATTTTCTTTTATTCGTCGATGGTAAACCTAGCAGCACAGATAAAAATACAGGCAAATTCAAATCTCGTTCAGGTATGCTAGTGATTGCGGCAACTCAGCTTCCCTTTCGGTTTTGTTAACTACGTTTGTTATTTTAATTTAATCTGTGTATATTACGGTTATTGACCTGTTATATTTTGGTGATTAAAAAGCAATGATTTCATTGAGTTTCTCCTCGCGCTTTGAAAACGGGTCACTACTATCTCTAGAGGTTTGTAAATTAAACAATATAAATTGAAGCTCTTGAGATAAATTTTGTGAATTAATCACAGACACAATTTCAAGCATTGGCTTGCTTTTCAAATACTTACCACGTAATGAAAAAAGGTTGAAGTTGGAGGGGAGCATGTTTCCCAAAGGGACCTTGAAACATTTTTCCAACTTTTTGTTAACACATTTCTCAGTTTATTAGAAATCTCGACTGAACTCGAAGAGGAACCCGCTTCCGGTTTTGTGCGTTATACCCTAACAAATATTGGTATTAGTGATGAAGTTGGTTTGCACAGAATGCATTTCCGTGACATTCTGTGGGGTTTGTAGTTTTCCTTTTTCTTTTTTTTTTTTTTGCGCATTCTAATCTCGGTCCTTTTATTACGTGATGGAGGGCACATCTTGGATTTCTTTTGTGCCATTGATTTCTACCCCTCCCTTATGACGGCTAAAGTAGCTTACGCGAGTTACAACGTGCACGCTTCTCGCCATTGGCGTAGGCCAGTTTTTATCCCCAATTTCTGTATCCCACAACCTGATTATTACATTTCCTAGCTAAAAATAAATTCCAACCTATTAAACACAATCGGAATTTTATCAATAAGCCTTAATATAATCAGATTTCTGAACTAGAACTTTCAATCAAAAATGAGATCGTGAATATATACACAGAAAACATTACAAACTAATTAGGGGAAAAATTACTAGCTCGTTAAAGATAAGCAATAAAAACCTTTCTAGATAAAAATATTTATAAATATAAACATTCATATATATATATATATATATATATATATATATATATTTATGTAGTTGTTCATTGTCTATTCTATCATATTGATATGATGCAGCTAAGAAAATCCACTCAAGATCCAGGAAAACTACAAAAAGAAGCAAAATGACAACAGTTCAAGAAACAAGAAGCAAGATTTAACAAAAAAAATATGTATATGTGTATATGTGTATATGTATGTTACAAAGTAAAAAAAATAAATAAATGCACCGCGGATATCTGCAGGCTCGTTTCGGGGGGTGGTCGCGCTGCTCCCTTCCTTCAACTGACAATTATTAAAAGAAAAAAAATCTTTTTTATCTTTTTATTAATTGGCTTAAACTTGTTATACCTCGTGTGGTACACGTTAGAGAGAACGTTATTTTTCAATTTCGTTTTGACTCTCCACTTAGAATTCTGCCCCGTGGAAGGATGCCGAACTTACAATCATAGAGTTGTGGGTTTGATTCCTCTTAGGGCGCGTTTGGATTTTTCGATGGTTCTTCTCAAATTCCCACCCTTTTGTACACTTATTTTCAAGTACACCTCATAACGTGTTACTCCGTGGCGTTCCGTCCCCAAACCGAATCGGAGCTTGCTGCGGAGCTCGGCTGGGGACTCGTGTTCAATTCGTGCTTCACGGATCTAATACGATCCTCAGCCGAACGCTGACACGTCTCATTTCCGCCTTCAGACACACACCCTGTGTTCCCAGGCGACTCAATAAAAATTATATCCAGTCATATTCGGTAATTCCTCACATTTCGTACACTTAAGATGTAGATGTGGTAAGGGTTACACGACTTCCGCCATTTTTTTCTTCATTGTTATACGCTTACTTAAAGAACCTCTGACAAACCCCCCCCCCCCCCCCCCAAAAAAAAAAAAAGTTTTTTTTTTCATGCTGGGCGCTAAAATGGTGTATCAGGATATCACCCAAAAAATTGTTTCACTTTAGAGTTGCGTAGATTTTTAAAAAAAATAGAAATACGAAGTCAATTCAAAGTTCCCGCCAGTGAACTGTGACGTAACAGTGTACCGCAAGAGGTCGAGGCGGTCAGAAGGGAGGCATCGCCGGAAGTCATGTGAGTTGTATCACTCCCAAGCTTACCGCGACCGCGCGTAATATCGTTTTTTTATTTTAGATGCGGAGCATCTCTTGCTCGGGTCTATACTCTGTTTCATACTTAGCGTGCAACGCTGTCAAAGCTACTGGCGCGAGCATGGGGCTTGATCTCGTTGATCATTCGCACGCGGGTTTGCGCAAACAGTACCATAGATGAAGGTGCACGCGCTCGCGCCAGTAGCTTTGACAGCGTTGCACGCTAAGTATGAAACAGAGTATATGTCCCGCGGCGTCGTAGTCCGCACTCACACTACGCATGCGCAACTCTCCTCCTCCCCTCTCTCCAGCAGCTGCGCGTTACTCTCTCCGCTCTCTCTCTCTACCAGCTGCGTGCACTTCGCGTGCGTTCGCTTCGACTCACACCGCGCGCGCATCTCTCCTCCTCTAGTCTCCTCTCCTTCAAGTGTGAATATAAGCAGCGGTAGCGCGCTGCGCGCGTTCAGGGGAGGAAGTGGCCGAGTCATTCAGCGCCCGGCAGTCGAAGAGTGCGGACGCGCGATGGCTCGCTCTGATAGCGAGGTGATAACGGCCGACGCCGGCCGCGGTGACAGGCATTTTTGCATCCCTGCTGACTACCGGATCGTGCTGCCGACGTTGCCGGTTGGAGACAAAGGAAAAAATCAAGTCTACCTTCACTGCGATGTGAACGCCAGGCCTATAAGGATCGTCGACTTCAAGGAGCCCTTGGAAAAAGCGGACCTTCAAAAGGATGTAGCAGGGCTAGGTGTGTGCCAAATGGGACACGTGTGGCTCTGTAGCCTAAAAAGTGCGGCAGCGAAAGAACGACTGCTACAGCTTGGCCGGCTCACGGTGAAGGGAAAGCTGTGCGTCCCCGTAGACCCCAACCGACAGGAAGTTCGGGCCAAGTTACATTGGTTCCCGTTCGACGTATCCAACGACACTCTCCGGAAGGCACTGGAAGAGTACGGCACAGTTCACGAGGTGACCAAAGAGAAGTGGCGAGTGGAAGGCTTTGAAGACATCGAGTCGACCACCAGGATCGCTAAACTGATACTCAAGGAAGGCAAAACGCCGGAGAACCTACCTCATCAGCTAAGGCTTCAGGGGGGCACGATCCTCGTTGTCGTACCCGGGCGGGCGCCGTTATGCCTGCGGTGCCGAAGGCAAGGACATATACGACGCGATTGCCGTGTACCTCGGTGCGGGCATTGCCGTGGCTTCGGACATGTGGCCCAAGACTGTGCACGCACGTACGCGAGTGCTGTAGTCAGCCGAGCTAGCGACGAGGGATGCGACCTCATCATGGATGAAGCGGAAGCAGAGGAGGCCGCAACATCGTCGACGCCATTTGAAAGGGCACAGCAAGACAAGGCGACAGTCGAAGGTCAAGACAACAAGAGAGCGGAGGCGACAGTCCGAGACGAAAAGCGCACGGTGTCGGCTCCTGAAGCCAACGAAAACGAGGGGCAGGCGACAACGCCTGGAAAACCTTCACCGGATGAGGTGGCGGTGACGGCGATGGGGAGCACCGGCACCGAGTCGGCAGCCATCGAGTGTGAGCCAGCCATGGAACTGGATCCCTCAAAGGTGAAACGGCGACTGGCCGACGAGTCTCCGAAAAACGGCGCACCGGTACAGCAGTGGTCTGAGGGGGAGTTTCAGCTGATAGGTAAACAAGGTCGCTACGTCAGCAAACTACGGTCCTCGTCGCTGACCCGCGACGGGGGTCTGTCGCAGTGAGTAGTGACCCTGGTATAATATGACGCAAAGGGTAACCGCCGGAAGCTGGGTCTGACACAATAAAAAACGGCACAACTAGCGTCTGGTCTGCGCATAGGGACCCTTAACGTTAGGGGACTTGCGGCACGCCGCCGACAGTGCCAGCTGAGTCGCCTTCTCTTAGAGAAGGACCTAGACGTTTTGGCGGTCCAGGAGACGAAGGTTAAAAGTGAGAGTCAGACCGAGTTCCTGGTAAAATCGTTTACGTCGAGGTATAATGTCTGCGTCAGCCACGCTGTAGGTAGATCTGGAGGATGTTGTCTGTTCTTGAGGAGAGCTGCTGGGCTCATCGAAGAGAACGTTGTATCGTGTGAATCGGGAAGGCTTGTTCTCTGCGATTTTGTTTTCCAAAATCAAAAGTGGAGGGTTATGTGCATTTATGCGCCAAACGTGGAGAGTGAGCGACGCGCCTTTTTTGAATCTATCGACAGATTTGTAATTAGTGACCGATTTACGATACTGCTGGGAGACTTTAAATGTGTTTGTATGCCAGAAGACCGGACAAGTCAGACGAAATAGTGATAGGTCTAGCGAAGTTTTAAATCAGTTGATTCAAGATAAGGGTCTCGAAGACCTGGCACCCTGCATAACACCGGGACATCGGGTCCTTTACACGCACCACCAAGGCAGAGGTCATGCCAGGCTTGACAGGGTATATGTTTCAGCGGATTTAGTACCCCAATGTAAAGATTTCGCGGTCAGTCATGTCTCGTTTAGCGATCACAGTTTGCTGAGTTTTGCCTTGGGTCAGCGTAAAAAAACAAACTAGCTTTTCGTGGGAGTTGTGGAAGTTAAACGCAAAGCTCCTCGAGGACCAAGAATTGATAGGGAAAATCGAAACTAAACTAGGCAGACTAGAAGACGTTTCGGAAAATAGCATATGTGAGGAATGGGAGCTATTTAAACAGCAAGTGAAGATTGACGCGATTGAACGAGCAACTAACATAAAGCGGGAAGAGCGAAGGGTAGAAAACGGTCTTCGACAGGATTTACAAAGGCTTTATGTAGAGGAAGAGAGAACGCCAGGAGCCTTCAAAGACGACATAAGCACTATCAAGGCTAAGCTTGAAAAAATAGATGAAGACAGATATAAAGGGGCAATCGTTCGTGCCCGTGCGATGAACTTGATTGTCGGGGAAACGCCCACAAAAAGGGCACTTGCGTTGGAAAAGAAGTATGCTAGCGGGAACCGGATTGAAGAAATAGAGTACAGAGGCGCAGTAACTCGAGATCAGCACAGTATTCAGCATGCTTTTGTGGAGTTTTATACACATTTGTTTGAAAAGAAAATACCAAAAGAAAAGGGGTTTGATACGGAATTTTTGCCAAGTCAGCCGAAGCTAGATAGGGATACTACGACGTTTTTAGAAGATCCGATTAGTTTATCAGAGGTCGAAAAAGCGATAGATGACCTAAGCGTAGGCAAGTCACCGGGACCGGATGGTTTGAGCACGGCCTTCTATAAGAAGTTTAAACAGCGAATTGCACCGGTTCTACATAGGGTTTTTCTCAGTCCTATCAGAAAAAAGAATTACCACTTTCTTTTTTGTGCACGCACACGGTCTTGATACCTAAGTGTAATGACGCCGATAAGCTCCGTAGTACTAGTAATTACAGACCAATTACCCTGGCCAACGTTGACTGTAAAGTGCTAATGAAGGTTTTAGCCAGTAGATTGCAGCATGTTATATGGAAAATCGTAGGGCCGCACCAAACCTGTGGGATAAAGGGTCGTAGCATTGGCACAAACATACACATTACTCGAAGTGTTCTAGAGGTCTGTGACGCGGAATATCGGAAAGCAGCTATACTTCAGATAGATCTTGAAAAAGCATTTGATCGTGTGTGCCATTTTGTTCTGTTTACCATTTTACAACATGTGGGAGTTGGATCTGTGCTGTTGGAGGGGGTAAGGATGGCATATGTAAACTGCAAAACTAAACTAGTAATTAATAAAACAGTTAGTGCGGGGATTAACGTCCGCTCTTCAGTACGGCAGGGATGTCCCTTATCACCCTTGCTTTTCGCAGTCTACCTAGAGCCCTTTTGCCGCTGTGTCATTCAATCTCAAGACATTAGGGGTTTTACACTACAGGAATGAGACATTAAAATATTGGCATACGCAGACGATGTTGCCATTTTTTGTTCGGACCCTCAAAGTGTGTTAGAAGCTGTTGAATTGACCAAAAGGTTTTGTGAGGTCACTGCCTGCGCGGTGAATTGGTCAAAGTGTGTAGGGTTATGGCATGGTGAGTGGACGACTGTTCCAGTTGTTTTTGGGAATGTTCACTGGTCACGGACGCCATCAAAGTACCTAGGTGTTCCTCTGGAACATTACCGTGAGCCCACAGATTACTGGCGAGAAGAAATAGCTATACTTAAGGCCACTGCCGAGAGGTGGGTACGGAGGGATTTATCCATTTTCGCGAGAGCGACTGTGTGCAATGTGTTTCTTCTGTCCAAACTGTGGTATGTCCTCCAAGTGCTGCAGTGTTCAAGAATCAACATTCAGCGGATTCACCGTGTATTTGCAGTGTTTATTTAAACATCCCAATGGGAGCGAAATCGCCGTACCAATCTTTTTTTTAAGCCCAAAGCGGGGGGTGTCGGACTGTGCCACGTATTTGTCCGACAACTCGTCTCACGCTTTATGTTTATCCGTGACCAGCGTGATCCTTTTCTTCGAACCGTTATTCAGACAAGACTGTTTGACGTTTTACCGGGATTTGTTGTTTCGTCCTGCCGGGTACGTTGCGGACCTCCGTCGGGTTTTTTGCGCGAAGTTGTATCTGCCTGCCGTTTTCTGTTTGTTCGTTTTTCTATGAACTATTTGTCTAGAGTATCACGCAAACATTTGACGCGTGACCTAGTGGCTACGTTGTTGCCCATGCCAACGTATAGGGCCATAGGCCCTGGAGCCCCTGGAGATGATGTGTAACAGCGAGTCAAGAACGCCATGGTACCAGCGACGGTTAAAACTTTCGTTTTTAAATTACACAGCGAAACGTTGCCAGTAAAGACTTTTTTGGAGGCTAAGGGCATGAACGTCTACTGGTCGGTAAATTGTATTTTGTGCAAACAACCGGAGAGCATCGAGCATGTCTTTTTGGGATGCTGGGATGCTCTTCTTTTTTGGGACGTGCTTCAGCGCACCATAAAGAAAGAGCTCCCCCTGTCACCTCAAGGAATCCGGTTCCTACCAATAGAACGTGAACCTGTGCCCTACGACATAATCATGCTCCTGGGGCTCCACGGCATATGGAAGAGCAGAATGGCGGTGCGACATGCTGATGTTGACGCACGCAACCCCAGAGAGTACTTCATTGAAACTACCAAATGGTTAACAGAATGTTATAAAAAGATAAATACTGATATAGAATGGTTACCAGTTCTGGACGATTTGGCCGTGCTTAAAACCTTTTAAATTAATCATCGCCACGACCTTCAGCCAAGCCTGGCTGATAGGCTTTTAACCCCTCCATGTTAAGCAATTTCTGCAGTTTTGGGGCACCTTATTTTTATCAATATGTGTATCATATGTAACCTGGCAATAAATAAAAAAAAAAAAAAAAGGAGGAAGTGGCCGAGTGGGCTAACGCGTCTCAGCTCGGAGCGTGGAGCGAAAGCTTGCGCTGGGAACCTCCTGGGTTCGATCCCCGCCGCCCCCGCCCGTTTCGATCTGGATGAGTTTCGTACCGGCACGCGTTCGTGTGATCACTACTGCGTGATGCACGTTAAAAACCCCAGGTTAGCGGTTGCACCGCACTGGCCAAATTTCTCATCTACAGCTAAGAGACCGATTACCCGTTGAGGCGCATCTCCATCAAGGCTGTATAAACATAAAGAGCAAGCCAATTTTTTTCTGTGCGCGTTCAGTTCGCCGCTGTTGACCTCCACTTCACTCCGTTCTTCCGATGAAGTGTGATGGAAGCAACAGTCCCGTCAGTTAGTGGGTTGGCGCAAGCAAGCGTCAGCACCACCCCACAAACTAACAGCAACGCTACGTCTGATCTGATTTCTCGGTCGTCTTATAGAGCAATCTTAACAGTTACTAGGTTTTCACTTGGGTTACAGGGCACGCAATGCGTAAAAAAATGAGCGTGCAGCGTTTTTGATCGAGTGTGGCAAGAAACCCACACGCTGCTGTCCGTTTTGATCTTCAGGAGCTTGGTTACGGAACATATCAAAGCAAGGCGCCTAACGAAAGACAACCGGTTGCTGCCAAGATTCAGGGCCGTTGTGTGCTCACTATCAGTAGGGAGTTTTAGAATAGCGCACGCTAAAGGTTTGCGTACACAAAGAACGGCGTCGTCGCCACTGCGCATGCTCCGAACGCAAACCAGGTTTTGCGCTTTTCGTGTGCAATTTTAGCGTGCGCTATTTCTCGGAATTAGCGTGCGTACGCAAAGAGTCTTTGCGCTTCTCCAAGGAGGATTCGTGATGAGAGGTTGGCTAAAGCCAAGACGAGCACAGTTAAAAAAAAATGGCGGCTTCCAGGATTATGTCGGCGGCTGCTTTAGCGGCGTCGTGAGTGCGACGTCGGCGGCATCCTCGCGACTGCGATTTTCAATACGGGACGACCTCGTACTCGGTTTGGCAACGATCGCCGACAGCTTGATGCTTGTGACGTGCGAACATTTCTCGGCGAAGGTACGATACGCGAAGGTCAGTACACGAGACCTCTCTTGCCGAGGCGACGCATGCGGACACAATAATACTTTGAACCAAAAAACTTGTTTTTTTCTTTTATAAAGTTACAGCATTTCGTGTGTGAAATAAAAATTGTGACAGTATCTTGGTGGCGCCGCAAGCGCGAGATGCTTGGGCTTTTGCCATCGAGAAGGAGAAACGCTATTCTAAAACTCTCTCGCGTAGCGTGCGCTAACACAAGCGCAAAATTTAGCGCTAGCGTGCGCTAAAATTCTGTATGTCATTCTAATAGCTCCCTAATGACTCAACTA